GCTCTACATGTAGTATCTATATATGTAATATCAAAGCAATTGAACTATTGTTTTTTAATAACAAGTCGAAAATATCACTTTTTTACCAAAAATTACAAAAATATTCACCAAAATTAGAGAATTAAAGATATCACTATGAAATGAACAAATCTGAGAGATGTTCACCTGAGGTACCTATATGTATAATATCAAAGCAAATGGACTTGCGGTTTCTAACAAGAAGTCGAAAATATCACTTTTTACCAAAAATTACAAAAATATTTCCCAAAATTTGAGAATTAAAGATATCATGAAATGAACAAATCTAAGAGAGGCCTACCCAAGGTACATGTACACCAAGTACCAAAGCATTCAGGCTTGTAGTTTTCAAGAAGAAGTCGAAAAAGTAAAACACTGACACGGACGACGACGGACAATCACTCATATGATAAGCTCCGCTCGACAAAGTCGAAAGCGGAGCTAACAAAAAAGTCATAAATAAAATTTTTACCAAAAATGACAAAATATTAACTAAAATTATGTTCGAGATATCAACAAAACGTTAAATCTAATAGAGACCCAACCAAAAACATATATACGATGTATCGAACCAATCGGAATAGAGGTTTTTTAGAGGAAGTCGAAAATAACATCTTTGACCAAAAATATTCATAAGAAAGAGAATTGGTGATATCCTCACGAAATAATCAAATCTCATAGAGGTCCACCCAAGAAACACATCTTTTAAATACAAATTTATATAGATTTATCAGTTTTAAAAAAGTATTTGCTATAAAACAGACGCGAGAAGACGACAGACAAACACTAATATAACGGCTTCGCCTGTCATCTTCTATGTAGTGTCGAATGTAATAATACACCCAGATGATCACTTTATTAGCGTTCGCCTTACCCGGTGTTCCGCCTGCCGCACTCAGCAATGTTGCAAACAAATCTGTAAAATGAATCAATCTGCAATACAAAGCACATAAAATAATTAGGATTGGGTTCAAACTAGTAATCCAAAACATTTTTCGAGTACGCGATTTTTTTTTATTCTTGGGTATTACAAATAGCAGATCGCAAAAAATAATTTAGAAAAGTTTCATCAGAAAGTTCCAGTCCCAAACTGGTGTTAGCCGCGCCCGTTTACTGTATACTTACTCGTTATTGGAATAACCTTTCTTTTCCAGCATGTTACCGTAGATAAATCCGGGTATTTTGACACTTCCTTCCCAGAGCGAGGCCTTGTTTCCTCTAAAGGGATAGTTATTTCCGGCATAGAACATATCCCCACCGTTCTACATAACATACAAAAGAGCACTGTGTTCAGTGTTTACAATTGGCAGATTTTACCGAGAAGTTAGGGTGGTAGGAAACGACAGTTGTGATGTTCCCAAATCTTAATTGCGGTTTTTTTCAGTCAAGTAGAAAAATCTTCGATCAATTTTCGACAGTCTGTGGATTAGATTCTTTTAGTAAATGATTACAATGGTGTGTTTCTGTGTATAGTATTCTAGCATACTGTGATAACACCACGTCAGCCGAGAAGCATATTAAACTGTGGTTCAGAAAAAAAACAATTAAATCTGCAGTGACTTACTGACTGATGCACCTGTAATAACAGACGACAACACATAAAATCGGCGGATTTGGCCGTTCGGGCTGTGATTTTCACAAAATGTGAGAGCTTGCTATAACGTCTATGGAATACAATATTAATCGATGAAATACTTACATCACTCAGAAATATAAACAATGTGTCATTCCACATCCCCTTGTCTTTTAAAGCATTCGTGATGTTTCCTACGGCTTCGTCCATTGCGGATATCATGCCTTAAATGGGTAAAAAAAAACGTAATTTATATTGAAAGCAAGTTATTTTAGTCCCCGTTCGAACGCAGTCCGAAAACTGGGATTTATGTTTTGACCTCCGTACGTCCGGACCTGTGTCTTAGAAATGCCTGGACCAAACACAATCAAACTTCACATATACATCATATATGACTTATTATACATATGCACATCAATTTGTTTCACGGTCTGATTTAAGATGGTCGAATGGCAGCCATTTTCTACTGACAAATCGTCATAATTAAGCATTTCTTGGATGTTTACAGATGGATTTTGTTCAAACCTTGTATATACATTGAACATTATAGGATCTTGATGCACATCATTTTGTTATACAAGATTCAAAATGGTCGACTGGCGGCCATTTTGTTTTAATGAATGTAGTTCCAGTGCCATCTCCGACTTGTTTTGACTGATTATGTTCAAATTTTAAATATTCATTATACATCATGTCATAAATATACATATATATTTGTTTGACGATTCTATTAAAAATGGCCGAAATGGTGACCATTTTTGTGCTAAAAAATCATCAAATATCAAGCATTTCTGGCATTTGTGGATGGATTTTGTTCAAATTTATAACATACATTACACATACGAGTTACTGATGCACGTCACTTTATTTTTCAGATCGGATTTAAAATGGGCGACTTGCGGCCATTTTGTTTTAATGAATGGGCTTTCAGAGCCACATAACTGCATAATAACAGTAATAATGTTAAATACATGACATGACATGGATATAGTACCCAGTTTCAAGCCTTTTTTAAAACTTTTACACTAAAATCAATGATAATGTTTGTTTTGTTTTTTGGCCGAACAATTACATCATTCATGTGCAAAGGTCGGATACAATTCTCATTTTTGTATAGTCATCATGCTCAGGGTGGCATCTTATGCTGTACGACTATTTTATGTTGTTCCGCTAAGGTGGATTCAGAATTATACTTGTTTTAAGGTATTCAGATTACAGTATTCGTATTCTCGAACCTGCAAACAACGTCCAAGGGTGATACAGACACCCTAACTCAGTAATAATAACCGATTCAGGTGACAGTTGTTGGTCCAGTATTAGGGTAACATTTGAACAAAATAGATGTAATGGCCGCTTGCTTAGAAATTATTGGTGAGCATATAAATACACACTGAAACGCATTCCAGACACGGAGTTTAGTTTATATGAAAGCAAATCTCACCCGCATATTCGCGTCTTCTCGTATCGTTTACTTCCACGGAGTTTTCAAAACCCGGAGGAGCCTGTCAAAAAGTGGGACAATACATTTCAATAAAAAAAAAACATCTGAAAAAACAATTTAAAACATGCCGTCAGGCACATCCTGGTTTACTCAGAATGACCCTTGTGAAAATAGGAAAACGGTACATGCGCGTGTCGTTAGACAATAGTTATTTTAGATCATTAGGCAAACTGTCGCAAACGTGTACGAAAATTTAGATGGTGAAATTCTGAATCTTGAAATCTCCGACATTGTGACAGCGCCCTCTAACGATGTGTTTAGTAGTGCTTTCGTTGGCGGCTACATTGTGTATGCTACGACCTCAGCACCAAACAAAATGAATGCATGTCACTTGGACGGGTGATTTTTTTGGTTTGCTATTCTTATTTAACTATAACGCAGTGATTCGACGTAGTGGAAAGCGTAATCTCCACAATTACACACAAATGAAAAATAATAAGATACTTACATCCAGTGGGCCGTGTGGTACTAGCAACGCCGTGTACAGGAACAATGGTGCCGCCGGGTTATGATTCCGAATAATCCTCTCGGCTCTTTCAGTGAATAAGTACTTGAATAAAGAAGAGTAATATCTTTATAAACACTCCGTAAAATGCAAACCAATAGCGCCGGTTGCGATTGAATCAACCATAATCCATCAGGGGCGGATCTAGGATTCTGGAATAGGGGGGCCCGATAAGTTGGTCGAAGGCCTAGTTCGCGAGCGCCGATGGCGCGAAGCCCTTGCGGGGGGTTAAACAATATGTATGTATCAAGCAATATTTGTGACGATAATCTCGAAAAAGATAAGACACTGCGGAATAGACGCTAGAGATTATGTTATCATATATGCTACTACAGTGAAGTTGGGCGTGAATAATTAACATAATTAAGTAGTCTGTATTATCGACGTCATTACTTACGGTGACGTGAGTGCCGTTTTCGTGTGCCACGACTCCTGTATTATCTCGTAGGTCTAGGCCGGAAGCACCTGGTTCGCCGATGACTGGAAACAAGCAACAAAGACAGTGCTTTCAACGAAGAGTATTTAAATTTTACACGTTCCACCAGCATAGAATCTAGTTAGTATTTTAGAAAAAAAATTCAAGATTTTATAGTTTTGAGTCCCCCGTTTGCTACGTCACTGAGGGTGCCCGTGGCAGTAAGAAGGAGGTGCATTTTATAACAAAATTCCGTTTGCCTACTTGGATGCCTACAATAAAATATCCACATTTTCGGTAGAAAACTGAAGCTCGTAGAGTGACATATCTGCGCTTAACGCCCACCAATACTGAAATACGAATTAGCTGAATCAGCTAAAATAACATGCTTGCCATAAAAAAATAATATGTTTATAAATGCCAATCGACGCAACTTAACCATTAACCGGTCAATACTTACTATATGCATATGGTTATAATCAAACACGTACATTTATTGTATCGTGTACTTACATGGTGAATGCACAATGTGTGTACTGTAGTCTGACAGGTACCCATTAAATATTCCATAAAACGAGTCGAATCCACGCCACAATGGCGTATATTTCCAGTTACAGAATCCAAGGTGCCACCTAAAATACAACAAAATTATGTAGATGAGTAAGTTTAGTAAGCTACGATATTTGTGTCGTATGTTACTATTTGTAAAAATAATACATATTTTTTGTACTTAAAATACTAAAGAGACATAATAGCACGTGTTTTTGATATGTCGCCGAAAGAGATCTATACTTGCTTGATGTCACGCATCACATATAGTAGACACACATGATGTTAAAAAGCCCTACCATCAATATGGAACTTAGACCGGGAGGGTCGTCACCAGCGCACACAACAATAACAACACACGCTAAAACGCAAAGGCTCATGGGTAGACGCCTATTTGTAAACAAAGACACGCTATGGTCACCTGTCGCATGCGCAGGTCACCTGACGCATGCGCAGGTGACGACTCCCCGCTTTAATCTCAATTAAATTATGTTAATAACGTGTGTATGAGAAGTGTATCGAAACTCGCAGCGTTCATGAAATTGACACACATTTCTGTTCTCGGCTGTAGAGTGAATGACGTACTTGCCAATCGCGTGATTCATGTACCCCAGCTCCTTGAGTTTAGTAGATAGTAGAGTGTTGTGCAGTGGCAAATAGTAGGGGTGTTGTTCCTGTACCACCAAATGCTAAAATTGAAATACGATCGAATTTTAGTGTGAATATATTTATAATGTGAACAGTGCAGTATACTTTAGTAAGCTTATCAGAGACCTATCGAAAATTAACGAAGTGTAACCGAGTTTCAAAACTTTGAACGACAGATTTATCAGAAGAGTAGTAACAATATAGATTATTATACTTCACCGTAGCGCCATTTTGCGGTATTTTACGGGGTATTTTCATCCTACCATACAAGAAAATGCGAATTCCAAATATGGAATCAGTACGCGCGTAAGCGTCCTCTAATAATAAAAACAAACATGTCTGCCCCCAGGGTTTGACCGGACTCCGTACAAATATGTTCACTGATTCTGTTTTAGGCATTTTGGATTTCGGCATTCCCATAATGTATCCTTGGAAGTAAAAAAATGTTTAATAATAGGGTTATTACGAGGATACCGCAAAGTATGTACTCAGGCAGTATACCGTCGCATCGACCTCTGCTGCGCGACGTTTGATATTACCGCTGTACTGTCTTCGTGCGTACTTTGAGGTATCCTCGTAATAACCTCATAATCTTTACCTGTATGCCGGCGTTTGCTGGATATTTACCAGTTAGCAGTGCTGCTCTCGACCTTGGAGTGGAGTAAACAGATAACATTTAAATAATATTTTATACTTGTCAAATATTGTATTCGAATCTAGTGTATTGATAAAAATTACTTGAAATTTCCATATACAAATATTTATGGTTGATTAATGGATGAAACTCTAATAAAAACCTGACAACATACATAACGTGCTTGGCTCAAAGGGCGGTGGTCGTCGTGCCGCGTCCTGTTCGATATGGGACTCATGGCGACGTTATGATGAAATTGTTTACGCGTATCTGTTGACCGACTTATTTAGTTGATTACTAGCGAATTGCTGTGTTATGTCTGTCATCGTTTAGGCAGGCGAGGTCCTGAACGGAACTTGGCTCAGTGATTTGGAACTAATTACGAGATAACCGTCGCTATTCGGACTACTATTTCTGACAGTTGGTATTCGTAGTTATTAATGTAGTGAACGATTAATCAAAAGATATGGCGTATTCAGTACTTAGTGTGATTGGCTTTATGATTGAAGGTTACGCCCTAGAGTCTTTTTTCTGCTTTGTAATTGGTTAGAGTTTTGAAAATGAATAAAGTTGTTTTAGTTGGTCTTGGCGAGTACAGCACGACAGACGCAGTCCAGTCCTGGAGAGTCTTGGGGCGAGTCTTGAGGCAGTCCAGTCTTGGGCGAGTCTTGGGTCAGCCCTGCGATAGTATTGGGGACTTTTCCCCAGGGCACTGTTTCTTATAGAGTGCTCGACAGTCCGACTAAGACGAGAATTGAAACGTATTTCGTTGTGTGTGTCTTATTTGACTGTAAAGCTTAAGTGACTTTCCCGATCCCGCACCTCGAGGGGACGCGGTAGACGATATTCCCCCTGACACGTGTGGAGAACCCCAGAGAGAAGAGATTACCCCTGATAACGTACACAACGCGTGTAAAATACATTGTTTATTTACACGAAACGTACATGAGCTGTGTGACGACTACCGCCCTGTAACATCGACACTAGCGTAGTTTAAATTTAAGAGAATAGAAAAAAAATACATATCGTTCCCGATATACCCAGTTTTAAAAATTTGTACAGTAGAACTTGAAGCATCTTTACCATGGGAACTAATATCGATACAATAAAATTGTATTCTTATTACATATATAAGAATGCTGGTTTTCTCTCATTTTTTTCTAAAACAGATTTGTTGTACACTTACGGTGAACACGCAGGCTGGGAGTAGGTGTTGTTAAGAATGACGCCGTTGCTTGCTAATTCATTTAATATAGGAGTTGGCATGAAGTCGTTATTCCAGCCAACATCATTCCAACCTATAAGATGAAGTATAAAAGTGAAATGACTTGCATGTAAATTGCGCCCTCTAGTGAACAAGCGCTTTTCGGGGGTAAATGGCTACTCACGGCGTCAATATAGTTTTGGTCCATGGCAGTATTTTCTATATTCTGAATCACAAACGAACACATTTCACTCATATGAACGTAAACGGTAAAAAAATATGCAAAGTATTCAGTCTCTGGTCCCAACGAAAAGATGACATCACTAACTTAGTGACTGGTGACATAAATGTTACTATTGATAATGAACTTGAGAATACATGGTTTTCATGGTAAAAAAGGGATACATCGAAAGCTCAAGTTGAGTTCATCGCCCGCTACGTGAGTATACGGATGCGATTGGATAATAACTTGACTCGATGGTGATGGTGAGTTTTTTTTTTAAGCCAATAACTTTATAAAGTACAATTTATTGCAAAATGAATAAATTCTGGGTATTTGAATTCATGAGCAGGCTTCTACTTTAAGAACAATATTCTTACCAACGTCGTCAGCCAGAACCAATACAATGTGGGGTGGTTTACCGAGGTCCCCACAAGGCGGTCTCTCAGCTGTTAAAAAATAACAATTTATCACGTTAAATGCGCAGAAGAGACGCACATGTATACTAAGAAAAAAGTTCATCCTTGTCAGAAGAGTCATTACATCCAACCTAAGCATATATTGATATTAGAAAAATGTACCGGTAGTTTCGTGTAAGCTAGCAAGAGGTAATTTCAGTAATTTTAGAAAGAAGGATAGTACCTGTAGTCATGTCCGCTGCCATCTGAGTCGTTGGCGGTATTGTGCTTCCTGTGATTGGAAAAAATCCAAAGGTCAATATTCACTTCCACTTATTCTATCAATATTGCTCAATGATACGTACACCTAATGTAGTGTGCCATCTACGGTAAAAAAAAACGCAATTCAAGCCTCGTAATCGATAATATAAAGAGGTTGCCGTACGTGTTTCTATAGTACCAAATGACTACCTGTAAACACTGCCCTCCCCAGTTTTGGGTAAATCTAGAATTGTTACTGAAAATGTGGATTATAGTACTAGAATTATTCATAATAGTACGATGACCTTCAACGATAAGCTCTTAGTGAGCCCACTAATCAACTAGTTAACTCGGTGCTAAATGATTTGAATTGTTTGACTTAAAGAAATGAAATGTACAACCTTGTTGCCGGCTATCCATATTCCCGTCATCGCCATTTGTCCAGTCCACTGAAATACAAACAAACATTGAGATTTTATTAGCACGAATCTTTGAAAATGTGGCTTGAATAGTTATAATCAAGTATTTACGGCCGATTTGTCCCAGTCTCAATTATGACATAGGGAGTCGGTGTTTTTCGACAGGGAGCGATCGTACTTACCAGCAAATATCAGCGTTATTGCGACAACAGCCACCAATACAATGATAATTCCAAACAGAACCGCTTTATCGTACTTCGTCATTCGGTGGCTGTCAGCGTGATCGCCCTGTTGGTATTTCTTTGCCTTTCCGCTGCCATCACCGTCTCCGACATAGGCTTCGTTATCATAACCAACCTATACAGATAGTACAACAATTAAAGGAAACACCACTTTTTATGGTTTACGTCTGTCACGTATTATTTTGAGACAATGCATAGTTACTTACAGGATTGTGTCTCCATAGTTACCCAAAACCCACACATAACAGTTAGACCAATCAGAGAACAGCTTGTTTGTTGACAGTTTTTTCGACGTATCAGATCCTGCCTTGCATACAAGACTCGACTCAACTGGACATTTGAAATGATAATTTGCATTGCTCGTCTACTAGTAGCCGAATCTGTTCCTGACACGATTCGAACCTCACAACTGGCCATATTAATTTAATAATTAGACCTTCAGTCATCTTCGGAACTACAAAATGTACCTAATACAATGTATGGTGACAAATGATCTGATGCTCACAGAGGTCAGAGCTGCAAGGTGTGATACACTATGTACGATTACAACAGTACTTCAGCTTTGAAATATACATGGAAAGTCTGGGATAACAGCACGACTTTTGCAGATAAATGCAGAAGAATGCAATATATATATATATATATATATATATATATATATATAATCACTCCAGCAGGGAACTATGGTAAACGACGACGTAGTAAATAATTCGGAGAATAATTCCATCCATGATAACTTGATAAATATCCGTACTCATACGAAAAACACAGCAAGGTAAAATAAATTAAGGAAAATATAAAAAAAACAAAATTTTTGGTCAGTTAAATGTGAGTAATATGTTTGTCAACAGCTTAAATATAACCTGTTATAATATACGCTTGTGTACCACGCCACGACGTTGAGTGGTGTTCATTTTTCTAACTACTCCAGTGTTCCGATGAGTTGAACGGAAAAGCCAAAACGATTGCTGGTTTCTGATTGCTTCGGTTCTGGTGAGTGTGTATCTAGTGTGATTCGAACCCATGTCGTTTGTATTGGGCGTTTTTTTATTTCCAATGTTGGCTACGCCGTAATATGCAACCACTTCCCCGTTTAATTGTGATTTTGTGAGTGTTTAATGATGTCTTCCTCACCTGTCACGCCATGACCCAGTTTCAACCACACGGCGATTTTGCAACAAAGTGCGCGACCCTCTGCGTGACCCGACTGACTATATGATCGTTCTGTTCAACTGTTAAGCTAGGATTTATTACAGTTATTATCATTATATTGTCTAGAACCGTGCCAAAATACAATTCATAGATCGTCAATACTATGTGTATTGTAAACCAGGTAAGTATTCATATTCCCTAGACTATGAAAACTGCAACCACAAAGCCACGGGGTCATGGCCTAAACTACAGCAAACAAGTAATGTAATAGGGTTACTTTTGTCTGGAATAATTATACTGAATCAGTTATGCAAGTGCTACATGACCTTGCAACATCCACGACGTGAAATTTGGAACTAGGGTGGGGCATGGCGGACAGAACAATGCACAAATGCTTGGTTCGGGGGTCAATGTAAGTGAGAGTACCCCAATATCATACGCTGCATTACGATCTCCAACTACTTTTATGCGAGTTTCTGAGGCGACATTCTTGAATGACGAAGAGGCGTACGTATGCTGGTTTTGAGACTCGGAGTTCATATCACCACCGACGATTAGTATGGCTCAGACGAAGCATGAAGCTAAGAATAGTCTATTTTAGCTCTATGGTTTAGTGACGTTTTATTGGATACACACATCAGCGTCATTGCCGCCCACACTTTGAACTACGTTTATTTCAGGTAGTAAGACAATATATTTGGCTCTAAGAGTTAACATAGACATCACCTGCGAGTTATCGTGCATGTTTCGGATGTTTCATGCATAATAAAGTAGCCGTCGCAAGAAAGTAAAGTGAATATAACTAATTGTTGACAAATACACTCACCGTCCCATCCGCCATGATTCTACTCCAGTCCCGGGTATGGGTCTAGTATAGTTCACTGCAGTTCGATATGAAAGCACGCAAGTTTACACGAAGCAGTGACTTATACACCCTTGCCTTTGAATGTGGGCATTCGAATGAAAACTGTTAATGAAAGAGTAATTCGAAGTGACATTTACATGTGAATAGAAAGGTCAAAGGTGTCACGTGATCGATGTTACCATGCTTCGTCGATGCTTCCATTTCAATGGTAACAGACTCTTGTTTATTTCTTTATGTTTTTTTTACAATAAAATAAACCTTGAATACGGGAGTGTTTAAATGGCGAAATCCGAGTTACCGCGAAATATTGTGTATTTTATTTTATTGAAAAAAACATCAACAAATGAACTTAAGAGGTTGTATGCAAGGCTATTTCAACTTGAATGGGAAACTGCCGTGTAGTACTGATTATAACCAAATTATGTTTTCAAACGATATTCTTCCAACATCATGCATGGAAAAAGTTCACAAGAAATTAAAAAATTATTTGAAAAACAATGGGAAAATGATATCCATAATGACAATAGCTAATGACAATAAAAAGCAAATTGGTTCTCTAATAAATGGCAGACATAAACAGATTAGTACTCGTGACCGATGTACACAAAATAAATTTGAAGATAAAAAGACAATTTGTTACGACTGCATTGATTTAACAAAACAAAAATTCATATTACTAATTTTGGTACAAGTAGTGCGAGTGATAACTTTATTTCCGTTATGAACAACAAACATACGTCACTTCCCGTCATAATCGTTTGGAATACCGCGAGAGAAAACATAACTATTACATATCATTCACATGAGTGACGGCGGTCAGTGTTGACACACGTCATCAGTAATGGCGATACACGTCATCAGTCTCTGTGTGCTCGGACATTCCGAGGAGAAAGGCGAGTCGTTGTTTATCGCTGCGATAGGAGACATTATAGATGGATAACACCATTTACTCCCATGATGCAAATAAAATAATCATAATAATGACGACTGAAAGTTTATTTTGAAAAATATCTTTATGAAGTTGTATTAGTGATGACACATGGCTGTGAGGTCAGGAACGCAAAATGAATGCTACTAAATACTAACTTTTCAACGTTTAATTTATTTAGAAGAACTTGGTAGATATTCTATGAAATGCAAAGTTATTAAACACATGGTGAAGTGTTGGTACAAGCTAAAATTCACTGATTACGCAAGAGATCGCAGTGATCTCAAGGTAACACGATACATCCCACAATGCAACTTTACGAGTTAGGACAGTTAGTTCAGTGAGAGTCCGAGTAGAGTGGACAGCGAAGACAGAGTGCAAAGAAGACGTTCAGTGCGGAGTTGGGTCCAAGATTATTATTATACCGTTCTGCCTACGTTTCGCGGGGACGGTATGGAAAATAATTTATGGGTTAGGGCAATTCATGAATCACGAAATTACCTGATCCAAGACAAAATGCGAATCATCAATACTGCAACGACCATTTGTGAAGTATCACTATCGTTCGCCTAGAACACGGGTGCACACCCGCCATTTTTAAAAATTTATGTATTTTTTATAATAATTATTCGTTTGGAATGCGATAATGCCTCAAACCTCGCAGCAAGTCTTACAGTGTATGCCTGACTAGTAATAAACTCCCACCTATCCCCGCTCTAACTTCTCTAATTATAATTGATTACACACGTACAAATTAATATATTAAAACCATTTCGACCCTTTTTTACACCAATTCCTCATTATTTATTACTTATTAAAATCTACATTTCATCTGGGGCGGTCATTGATTTGTGACTGGTGAACTTGAATTACCATAACTTTTAAATTAGCATAATAGCATATTCGTTGATCTGGTAGTGTAAGGCGATGGTATTTACCGACACTTGTTATTACAATCTTTTTTTTTTCCTTTTTTTTTTGGAAGCGTTGTGTTTTAAGTTGTTACTTTTATATCAAAGAATGGTATAAACTTGGAATTCTGATATTACCCGGGGTACTGGAATGAACTGCTCATCTTTTTGCATACATATAACATCTTCAATTTTTTTATTATTTTGTCAGTAACATGTAGTTCGGAAAAAGAGAATTTACGGTCGCCAAATGATACATTCTCAAAACAGTCATCACACATTGCCACATACACTGGTTCTTCAAAACCCTGTTACACTGCGAAAATTCAACGCTCGGTTTACAAGCTTACCAACAACTACCTACATATTAAATGGCGGTGGTCGTCACGTCGCGCATGTTTGACATTTGTGTAGATAAACGTTGATTTTCCCATAATCCAATGCGCTCATTCAATGTAAATCACGAGTAAGAGCTTTGACCTGGACGCGACGTGCACTAATTACCACCAGGACTCCTTCCACAGTTTGGTACGTTCTAATCACAAACAAATTAAAGATAATTCAACACTCGGTTTACAAGCTTACCAACAACTACTTACATATTAAATGGCGGTGGTCGTCGCGTTGCGCATGTGCGACATTTGTGTTGATAAAAGTTGATTTCCCCACAATCCAACGCGCTCTTTCCATGTAAATCACGAGTGAGACCTTGGAGGCGACGTGCACTAATTACCACCGGGACTTCTTCCGCGGTTATGTACCTTCTAATCACAAATTAAGGTAGCGAGAAGGGAAATTTTCACTTTTTTCTTGATTTTTCAAAAATTGATAAAACGTTTACTTTAGACCTTGATACATCATCCCAGGTTTACAAAAGATCGAAATTGCGAAATAACGTCGC